AGGGGACCCCCCGCCCCAAGAACCGGTGGGGGGGGGGCCCTCCTAAAGCCCCCCCCCCCCCCCCCCCCCCGGGCCCCTTCCTTCCCTCCCCGAGGCGACCGCCCCGGGCGTGTCGCCGCCGTCGGCTCGACCGTCGCGTCCCGTCTCGCTGCCCCTCCCTCCGGCGCGCCAGAGACGGCGGACGCGCGGCGGCGGGGAGGGTGGAGCGGCGGGGAGGGTGGCGGCTCAAGGGATCACGGTGTGATTAGGCGGCGGCCCTCTGGCCCGACGGCGGCCTTCCAGGAACCTTCTAGGGACCTTCTAGGAGCCTTCTAGGCGGCGGTCCGCACCTGGTCCGACGGCGGCCGCGTCTTCGAGGCGGTCTGGCCCGACCCGCGCAAGAGGTACGTTCCTAGCCCAGGTTCCTAGCAGGTTCCTAGAAGGTTCCTAGCAGGTTCCTATCTGGCCCGACCCGCGCAAGAGGTGCGTCGCTGCGAGCGACTCGCTCGACCGTCTAGAAAGCGTCGGAACCGTCTAGGAACCTTCTAGGAACCGTCTAGGAACCGTCGGGGAACCGTCGGGGAACCGTCTAGGTACGTCGCTGCGAGCGACTCGCTCGGCCGCGTGCTGCTGCTCGAGCGGGCCACGCTGGTGCAGCTCCGCGTGTGGAAGGGGTACCGGTCCGCGCAGTGCGGGTGGCTCGACGCGCTCGCGCCGGGCGGCGGGCTACGCGCCGTCCTCGCCATCCACGCGCCGCGCCGCGAGTTGGTAGAGATGCTTATCCTGCTAAATTCTGGGGTGCTGTCCGTCACCGCACCTGGTCGACCGGAACCAAAGGCTTCACCCTGCTAAATTCTGGGGTGCTGTCCGTCACCGCACGGACGCAGGGGCTCGTGTATGTTGCGTACGTCGTCCAACATGTAGAAGCAAGCAGAAACGCAGAGTGATTAAGGCAAGAGCAAGTGCAAATCAGTCTTGTATTGAATTATACCTACGTACCGCCTCCGGGCGCGAGTGTCTCCCCAGCGTCTGCTCCGGCAGTCGCTCCGGTAATCAGGCCGAGAGTACCAGGGAGGAGGGGAGAAGTAGAGCCCAGGGTGGGGAGAGGAGAAGAGCCCAGGGAGGGGGGAGGAGAAGAGCCCAAGGCGGCCTCCCTCTCCCTCCCCTCCCACCGGGCCTCCCTCTCCCTCTCCTCCCACCGGGCCTCCCTCTCCCCCTCCTCCCGCCAGGCACCGACAGTCTCGAGGGGCCAGCCGCTGGAAGGGGCAAACCACACGGGACTTCATCAAGACACGCGAAGAAAAAAGTATTATCCTAACGGTGTGGGGGCGCGGAGGGCTTGTTGGCGAGCCAAAATGGTGTTTTCCGAGGCGCTGCGCTAGGCTCAGAGCGAGTTCGCGCTGCGCTAGGCTCAGACGGCGAGTTCGCGCTGCGCTAGGCCCAGACGGCGAGGTAAGGTAAGGTAAGGTAAACTTCTCCACACACACGAGGTGGTGGGGCAAGGGGGGGCAACCCTCGCGTCTCCACGTCTAACGACAGGAGCCCCACGGCATTTAAAGTGCAAGGCCCGGTGCGCGTGGGTGGCGAGTTCGCGCTGCGCTAGGCTCACAGATGCGAGTGCGCTGCGATAGAAGAAAAAAACAGGGTCGAAACGACAACCGAAGGGAGGACTGTGTAGTGTAATCATGTGTCAAGAGGCTCAGAGCGAGTGCTGCCATGCTGCTGCTGCTGCTGCTGCTGCTGCGCTGCTGCTGCTGGCCTGCTGCTGCTGGTGCGCTGCGTGGCGAGCGCCGTCGCCGAGGCGGGCCTCGGCGGAGAGCGCGACGATGCGGCCTTTTCCGCGACCCGCACAAAGAAGAGGCGCCCTCCGTCCGCCTCGACCTGCCACCGGCTCGCGTCGACCGACCCGGCCGCGGCGTGCCACAGACGTCCCCTACCGCCGCCGCGCGCGCGCGCCTGCGGTGCGCGCCAGGGCGCCAGCCGCCACGCTGCAGGTGCAGCGCTCGGCGCTGCCGGCCCGCCGCGCGCCACCCGGTTGGAGGGCATGTGTTTGAGTATTTTACAACAAGAAAACACGCGCTCTCTCGCCGCACCGTCTCTCGGGTCTCTCCACTCTCGCGCGCTTGCTGGGTTGCTCTCACCTCTGGACGAGTGTGGAGACCTCTCTCTCGCCGCACCGTGCGGCTCCCGCACACACGCCACGGCTCACGCTCTCCAGTGATAACAGTGGCAGCGGCGCAGCGCGCGCGCGGCGCGCGCGACGGAGGGGCGGAGCAGCGACCGCTGGCGCGGTGTCGCTGCTCCGTCTGTCAGCCAGAGACGCGCGCTCTGCCGCTCCACGCCCGGCTGCTCCCTTGCCCCGTCACCCGCCGCGCCCTCGCCCGGCCGCCTCACCGCGCACGGAGCGCTCGGCTGCTCGCCGCCGCCGCCGCGCGTCCCGCGCCGCCACGCTTGCCCCCACCTTGCCTGACGCGCGAGGAGAGGTAGGAGGTGCTTGCCGCGGCCGGCGAGCACTCCCGCGCCTGCGGAGGGGCAAGGCCTGAGGGCGGGCGGGCGGGCGGGCGGGCGCGGGTGGATAAACGCTGCGCCGCCCCCGCACAAGCGACACTGGCCGCGGCTCGCCTCCACGCGCCGGCTCGGAAGAGGGGCTGTCGGCGGCGCAGCAGAGCGGCTCGCCTCGGCGCTCGAGCCGCCGACAACCCCCCACCTCGACGTGACGGCCGTTCCCGGGAACAGTCGTTATCTGTATATGCGCAGCTATTCATAGCCGCGCCTGTTGTTTGTGTGTGTATCCGCGCTCTTGGCGCGATTACGAGACTGACTAGTGTGTCGCACTAGTTGTACTTTTCGTAATAGTTTTCCGCATTCATTGCGAGGGCGGACCACTCCTAGCGTGCAGACCGCGGGAGCTGGTGCCGCGGCCAGTCGGTCTCAGACCTACATTCTATATTCCAGAATGGATGGCATTCTTCGAAATAGAATGGGCGCCGCAGCGGCCCGTAGCGGCGCCCCCTGCGTGCCCACGGCCACCCCGGGGCCATGGGACATCCCCCCGGCCATTGGGGATGCTTGGTTTATCCATTACCCCATTTACACGGGCTGTGTTGCGGCGCGCCTCGAGACGCGCAGCGCAGCGCAGCGCGCAGACCACAAACCAGATAAGAAGACGGCCGTGGCGACACCCGCTCTCTGAGCGACAGCCCCACAAAGGGCACTCGCTCGCAGGCGAGGACTACGGGCAGCACAGGCAGCAGCAGAGCTGGCGGTCCGTCTCCCCGCCCGCTTAGCAAGTCGGCCCCAGCGTCACGGCCGGGACGGGCCAGGAGCCACCCGGCTCGACGAGATCGACGAAGAGGACGAAGACGAGGACGAAGACGAGGAGAGGACTACTCGAACTTGGACGAGGACTCAGGCGAGGCGCAGGACTCGGAGACCGGGCAGGGAAGCGAGGACCATGACTAGGTGACACGAGGAGTAGATGTGACATAGGTAGACCGCATTCGCGCTGTCTGCTCACTTCTGCCGCCCGACCCTTTCGCCCGCCCACCACTTGCGAGCACAAATCTCACACTTCCACTGCCCTCGCCACAGGCGGCGACGGACGGACATCCAAGGCTCGAACGGCGGCAGCGGCTCAACGGCTGCCGGCGGCCGTCGTGCGTTTGCTTTCGCCATACGCGGCCCCCGGCGTCTGCTCTGGTTTGCCGGGGCGGGGGGGAGGACTCTCATTTGCGGACTGTTGGGCTTCTCTGTGTTGAACTGGCGCTTGTCGCGAACCCCACCAGTCTGGCCGAGCGGCACGCTGCCGCTGGGGGCGTGAGGAGGCCGTGGGGGACGGCGGCGGACCCCATTCTTCGATGTAGAATGGGCCCTCACCGCGGCCCGTCTGCTGCTGAAAATGTGGCGTGTTGGGGGCTCTCCTGTGTGACTCCTCTGGCTCGCCGCGTTAAAGTGGCGCCTGTGTGTGACCAGCCTCAACCCCGGCAAGCGCCCCCCGGCCGCTGGGGCTGCGAGGCGGCCGGGTGAGCGCGCGCGAGACGCCATTCTACATTGTAGGATGCCATTCTATAATATAGAACGGCCAGGTAGGGCTGAGACCGCAGTGTAGACCTGGCCTGCGCTGTGACGCGCGCGCTCATCTTCAACGTGGAGCCAGCTGAGGGGTAACTACGTAGCATGTCTAGCAACAACCGTGACAACCGAGGGACGGCCGTACTTTGCGCGTGCGCGCGGCCTGCTATATCCGTGATCCTGCCGTTACCGCGCCGTCCTTGCTCCTCCCTGCCGTGCCGCTCCTTCCTCCGTGCCGCGCCGCCCTTGCCGTTTAGCCCGCCGCCCCCCCTGCCGTCCGTTACCGCCGTGCCGCCGTACCGCCCTCCACCTCGCTCACGCCGCCGCCGCCCTCCACCTCGCCCGCGCCTCCGCCGCCGCTCACGCCTCCGCCGCCTTCCATCTCGCCCACGCCTCCGCCGCCCTCCACCTCTCCCATGCCGCCCCCCCCGCCCTCCACCTCGCCCACCCCTTTGCCACCACCCTCTCCTTCGCCGCCCCTCGCCCCCACCGTCCTCCACCTCCACCCCTCGCCCTCCCCCCCGCCCTACCGAACCACCCGCCGCCCGCCCATGCCGACTTCCGCCCTCCCGCCGCCCTCCCCCCTTTCTGCCCCTCCGCCTTCGCCATCCCCCATCTGTGCATTCCACTCCGTTCGCTCCCTCCCGCTTGGCGCCCATCCCGCCCTCCGCCCTCGCCCCCCGCCCCTGTCCTGGCTGGCCTGGGTGGCAACTCCTCATCATCACGCGCCAGGCGGGAGGGAAGTGGACGGGGCCCTGAGCCGACCTAGCCCTAAACGGAATGGGGCGCCCAACACGTGCCCGGATTACTGTGCCTTCCCCGGGTGCAGCCTTTCGGCTCGTGAAGGGTCGGTGCGTGTCGTGATCCCCTGGAACACCCGTACTCTCCCGCGCCATCTCCGTCGCCCTCTTCGGCTGCGGCCTTACCACCAAGATCGGGAGGCGGCCAGGGCTCATAGACTCGGTCGAGAGACCCCAGATTGGCATCCATGCCTCTCTGGACAGGGTGGCCCGCCACAACGACCCCTGGAATTGCGACTCGCCGCTTTCCTCCCGCTGTGATTCTGTGTGAGCTCTGTGTCTTGATTTGCCAACAATATACCTACAAGACATGCCGTCCGTCATCCAATGGGATGAAGTGTGGAACGCTGCAAAAACCCCCAGTTTGCCTTGCTGTGTCATTTGCTGTCTGCTCCGCCGCCTTTGCTGCTCCTCGTTTGCCTGTGTGCATGACGGCCGCCCGCCTGCTGCGCTCGTGCGTTGAGACCCTCGTGGACTTCGTGCTCGCGCCAGTATTCTGTTTGATTCTGCTTCCATTCTCCGTCCTCGTATTCTCGCCTTTTATCGCGCTCGGCCTCTGCAGCTCCGACGCTGCTGTCGGCGTGCCTCCCGCCCTCCTCGCCTGGCGTCGCCTTCCATATCTGATTCCGATGGTGCTCTTCGTCGACCTGCCGATTGCTGTCTTGTTTTCCGCGGCACAACTGATCGAGGGTCTCTTCCTCCGGAACTCCCTCACCCTCGCCGTCCACAGCCTCTGCCGACGCGCCTCACAGCTCCCGAACCGCGAGCCGACGCTCCCCGACGCCGAGGCCGGTCTTCGCGCTCGCGAGCGGCCGCGCTCAAACACCATCGACGGCGCCCGCTACCGCGAGCATGCCCCCGTCTGGGCTGCCCTCGAGGGCGACGGCGACAAGGTCCGGCCAGGAGATGTGCGGCTGATCAGTCTGAACTGGCTCATGGAGCTGGCAGAGCGGGGCGACGTGCTCCCGCGGCGGCAGGACCTGCCAGAGGAGGCCTTCTTGAGCTCTGCTCAGCTGAGGCGGATCGAGCAAGGCGCCAGGCGCGGCTTTGACCTCGCCGGCATGGAGGAGGCCATAGAGCGCTTCACCAAGGAGCCCTCCCTCTCGTCCTTTCTCGCCTTTTTAGCGAGCTTTTTCGGCCGCAAGCGCAACCCCGACGGGCTGCTCCCGATCATCTCCGTCTCCTATTGCTGGCTCGAGGCGGCGCATCCAGATCGAGAGGGCCGCCAGCTCCAGCTGCTCTGCCGCAAGCTGCGGGGCCTCTACGGCGGGCGCGGCCTGCTCGGCGCGTGCCGCGACTACGGCTTCTCGGACATGGTGAGCTGCCTCCCGCGCCTTTCCCCCCGCGGCTCTCTTCCTCACCGTCACTCCCTCCCTGGCTCGCGCAGGGCGTGTTCCTCGACTGGTGCTCGGGCTACCAGAAGGACCCGGCGCTGTGGCGGGAGTGGATGTCAGCGGCGGTGGAGGCAGCAGCAGTGAAGATACAGGCAGCCTATCGCGCCTGTCTCTCGCGTAGAGAGAGTCAGGAGATGGGGCGTCAGTACGAGGCGATGCCGGAAGGGGCGCTGTACGTGAGCAGCGATTCCGCACTCGCACGAATGGCCGGTGGCGAGCGGATGGTCGCCGAGCGGCGCGCGTATGAGGCTAGCCGGTCGGTCGAGCAGAAGGCCGCTTTCGGTCGCATGCTGGAAAACACGATGGTGAGCACGCGCCAGCCCCTTTCCCAGCCCGATAGCGCCACAATATGCACCGCTCTCACGGCACGTTGGCTTTACATCCCGCGTTAGGACCTCTGGTACGCGCACGCCTCGGTCACGGTTGTGCTGCTCACGCAGCTGCCGGACGAGCTGCCCGCCGGCTTTGACCGGAGCCGGACCTACGACACTCGCGGCTGGACGACATTCGAGCGGTGCTCGGCAGAGCTGGGCGCAAAGCCCTCCTCGTTGGGCTTTGCCAAGTGGAAGCTCGTCATCGACGTCGCTAGCGACGACGGCGGCGCTCAGCGGCGGCTCCCCGCGACTCCGGAGCGCATGGCGACGCTGCTCGCCGCTTGCCGCTTCACCAACGGCGCGGACTCGGCGGCCGTGCAGGCGCTCTACGAAAAGACGGCGAAAGCAGTGCTGGGCACGGTCGAGAAGCTCTACTACAACGGGCTGCCGCTCGTGCGTGGCGACGCGTGGACTAGCCCGGCGCTGCTGGCGGAGGCGCTGAACCATTGCGAGAGCCTCCGGTCCCTCGTCCTACTTGGGACACGCCTCGACGACGAGGGCGTGGCGGAGCTTGCGGCGGGGCTCGAGGACGGCGCGCTCCCGGCGCTTGAGAACCTCATGGTAGGGTTCAACCGCTTCGGCGCGCGCGGCGTCGGCTCGCTCTGCGGCGTGTTCCATCGCGGCGTGGCGCCGGCGCTGCAGACACTCAACGTCGGTCTCACGCCTATTGGCGACGAGGGGGCAGTGGCGCTAGCTGCGGCGCTGGCGACGGGCACGCCGTCGCATGGGCTGAGCTTGGGGTGCTGCGACGTGGACGACGAGGGCGCGATGGCACTCGCGGCTGCCCTCCCGGCCGCGGGTCAGGGATGTCGCGTGATCGCCACGTGGAATCGGATCGGCCTCGCGGGCCAGGCGGCACTGCTAGATGCACTCGAGGCAAAGCACGGGCCGCAGCCGGGGCATGGCATAGCGGTGCAGCAGATGAACTTGCTTCCCTGGTCGTGCCCGCTCATTCGCGCTTGGGGACGAGGCGGGCGCCGTGTGGCCGAGAGCGGCCGAGTCACCATATACGGATGAGAGCCATATACGGCTCTAAGTAAGGCACACCTTTATGGGGGCGTCCTGCAGTTAAGGGGGTACGCGGGGCTATCCTCGGAGACCCGTGTTTACTTTACGGCCCTTTCCCTGCGAACGCGCACCCCCAGGGCTAGGGCTCTCTAGCCCGTAACCCGATCCCGATCATCCGGCCCGCTGGGTGCGCTTAAGGTGCGCTTCTTAGCTCCCCGGCCCTGGATGTGAGGTTGATGACTGCACTCCAAGATAGTGCTCCTAGAAGATGTACGGGGTGTGGACCTGCTCGGCTCCAGCCAGTAGACAAGTCTTGTCATCAACAGAGTAGATGGATCTGACCTCGGGGCCGATGTGACCAAGCGCTGGTAGTGTGGTTTAACCTCACACCCATGGTCTCACAGTGTGCCGGCAGTCGCCGAGCAGGCCCATCGCTGTCACAGCTGTGGCAGCCGCACAGTAGGCTGTGTCAACTGTGCAGAGTGTGTGAGCAGCAGAGGAGCTGCTCTCCAGGCTTCTGTCGCAAAGAGCTGCATGCCACCGAAAGCGCTGTCGAGGTTCGCCGAGCGCGGCGCAGGTTGAGGGAAGCCGCCACCGACGAGCGCGTTGGACTTTTCACTCCGGACAAAGACGGGCACACAGCGGACGGTGCGGGGCGTGTGCCCGTCATAGTGGCGAGGCGCGGGACCGTCTGTGGCGAAGTGGGTCGCGTCCCTCGATTTCCGTCAACCCAGCGTCCACACCCTTTAGGATTGCGAGCGTAGGTGCTACTGGGGTGCGAGTTAATGGATAATGCGCGGTTGGGGGGGTCTGAAAAGGGGAGCTCCCTCTCTCCCCACCCCGAGGACCTCTGCCCAAGCTGATGGTGCCCAGCCCAGAGGGCCTCAGGGGCTGTAGAGTCACACCTAGGAGAGGGGGTAGCTCACACCTTGTGGGCCGTACTGACCCTTCTCCCACGTGCCCTTGCCCGCCCCTCTGACCGCCGCCCGAGAGGCCCGACTTTGAGGGGCTGGTGAGAGCCCCCACCGTTGCGCCCTCACCTCACGCTGACATATCCTTTGGGAATGCCCATGGGCTCTAGGGACCTGGCGGCAGCTTTGCCCGCGGGTGCCATGCTAGGCTATGGTAGCCATTCTCCCAGATTCTCCGGAGAGGCCGGAAAAGTGGCCAAGGCGGCCTCCGCTCAAGGATCGTTGGGATTTTCTGGTGACTGGAAGCTGCTCGACAGGCTGCGGGCATCGCTGCGGCGAAAAGCGCCCGTCCTCTGCTTTGCTTTCGCCCGCGTTTTACGACAACTTTCGGCACCTGGTCGACCGGAACCAAAGGCTTCACCCTGCTAAATTCTGGGGTGCTGTCCGTCACCGCACCTGGTCGACCGGAACCAAAGGCTTCACCCTGCTAAATTCTGGGGTGCTGTCCGTCACCGCACGGACGCAGGGGCTCGTGTATGTTGCGTACGTCGTCCAACATGAAGCAAGCGGAAACGCAGAGTGATTAAGGCAAGAGCAAGTGCAAATCAGTCTTGTATTGAATTATACCTACCTACCTACTCGTGCAATGCGGCGTGCTCCTCCGCCACGCGCATTGCGGCGGCGCTCCAGAGAGGCGCCTGCTCGTCGATGAAGGCGACGAGCTGCTCTGGCGAGAGGCCAGACAGGCGGGCGCCGATGCGGTGGGAGGCCATCGGTGGGGCGCGGTGGCTGAGCGCTGCTGTAATTCTTTTCAGGCTCCATACCGCGGTGTCTCGTCCGAGCCTTTCTGTTCTTCACCTTCCTCCCTACCTGCCTGCTCTCTTCCCCCAAGCGAGAGCCGCGGCCCTCTCACGTCTCACGCTCGGGTAGGTAGTAGTAAGGTAAGGAAAACGTCTCCACAGGTAGTAGTCGCGCAGATCTCAGTACTCAGAGAAAAACAAAATTTCTCGTGTGATCTGGAGTCACGTCACACCGCTACTCCCAGCCTTCTTAAGTATAAAACTAAAAGGAGCTCACAGTGTAAGGTAAGGTAAGGTAAGGTAAACGTCTCCACACACACAAAGTGGTGGGGCAAGGGGGGGCGACCCTCGCATCTCCACGCCCGGACACGGGCAGGAGCCCCACGGCATTCAAAGTGCAAGCACCGGCCCGGTGCCGTGGGTGAGCAACCTGCACCCCACTCCCTCCCTCCCAGACACAACCCGCACACAACCCCCACGCCACAGCGTGGACGACTGCGTGTTCAGAAACTCGATACGGCCGCTGGCCGGGCAGTGTGCAATCTTTACCGGTATGAAACTGGTATTTGGCGATATTTTGATTAGTTTTGGAGTGGTATGGTATAGTGGTATGCGAAAGTGGTATGCGGGGTTTTCAGTAGTTGTAGCGGCTGTCGGTGTGGTCCCGGGGGCGAAACCATGCAAAAGTGCGGGTATTACCCGGGTATACCCGGGTTTTTCCAGGTATACCCGCAAAATACCCGGTATTTTGCCGATTTTGCCGATTTTGCCACCAAGAAGGCACTCCGACTCGCTTTGATTTCCGTGAGGCAACTGGTATCCCGTACCACTTTTTGATTAGTGCAGGCCTTGGGTTTGATTAGCCAAAAACTCCCATAGTAGGCCGGGGCGGCCACTCGACCGGCCGCCGCGGTCGTTCCGGCGGCGGCGTCGGCGCGAGCGACCCTCTTCACAGAACCCGGAGTGCCCCACGAAGAAGAATTCTGCGCCATCGAATTCTTGCCCCCTCTCGCAGATGCTTCTCCTCAGCACTCCTCCTCCTTCGGTGGCCATCGCGCTTGCCAAAGGCAGTGCCCATCTCGGTGGGCCTGGGCGGCAGCTCCACGTCAATATCTCGGAGCTCCCCCTCGAGCTCATCTATCGCCTCGAGCGCTCTGGTCATTGCCGAGCGAGAGCCGACGCGGCGTTGGCGCGGTGCAGTGAGCGCCCGGTGGCTATAGGAAAGCGCGGGAGACGCCCGCCGATCGCAATTCTGGCATTATGTAATTCTTTTTCAGTGTATGTGGCTCTTGCGTACATTCCCGTAGGAGGACTCTGCTTTTTGAAAATGGTGCCTCTCGTATTTTAAACGCCGCGAAAATCGTAGTCTTTGTTAGTATCGAGGTCTCCTCTCGAGTGCGTGTCGCTTTGGTTGGCGACACCCACTCGTCGAGGGCAGTCCGGCCGACGGGAGCCTGTCGCGCGCCGGCGACGAATGCGGCATGTGTGGGTGGATCTCGATGATCATCCCCCACGCCACGAAGAAGAATTCCTCGGTTATCGAATTCTTGCCCTCTCGCTGCATGTTGCGACAGCCACGCTGTCGCGCCCTCCTTCTCCGGCCCGGCCCGCTCTCGCCCGCCTCCGTCCCCTCCGTGCGCCACAAGCTCTCCGTCGGCGGCGGCTCCACCGGCGTTGCCCCCCTGCTGCAGCGCCCGCCGCCGCCGCTGCGGCCGCGCGCCTATCCCGAGGCGGGCACCGCTGGCCGCTCGGAGCCGCGCACATTGCCGGCCGAGATCCCGGAGGTGCTGCGCTCCAAGCTGCAGCCCGACGCGCCGGGCCGCGCCCACCCGCGCAAGATCCCGGCCAACCTGCGGCGCAAGGCGCGCGAGCAGGGCTACCTGCAGCCGCTGGACGACGTGGTCGCGGCGCACGTCGAGGGCTCGTTCCGCGTCGCGCGCTCGCGAATGGGGAACTTTCCCATCTACACCGACGTGCGCAACGGCGGCACCAAGGTGGTGACCATCCTGCGCAAGTACTCTGGTGACGCGCACTCGCTTGCGCGCGCGCTGCAGGCGGTGACCGGCAAAGAGGTGACGCAATACCACGGGCGGATGGAGGTGCGCGGGAGGCACGCGAGCGCGATGGCGGAGTGGCTGGGAAGGATCGGGATGTAGATGATAACGCCTTGTTGGCCCAGCCGGGCCCGGGGCCAGAGTGGAGAGACGTGAACCCTCTCCTCCCCGTCTGCCTCCTCTATCGCTTCTCTTCGTGAGTGTGTTTGAGTTATGAGTAGCGTTCGTATATCGTATATGTTTTTGCGACTTCAGACGGCCCAGCCCGCGTGCGGCGAATTTGTGTGTGGTAATATAATCGGACGGTGTGCGGCGCGTCGGACATACCGAGGGCGGCACGGTATAAAGCCGTACCACCACCACACACCGCTCTCCGCGCTCGGCGACCCTGGCACTGAGTCTGAGTCTGAGAGTGAGACCGCGGCGCAGGACACACGGCATGTGTAAGATTTGTGGCGAGGTGTGTCCGAGTCTCGCTCCACGACAGGGCACCACACACGCGCGACCCCGCACACTGCCGCCACACGCTCTCTCTCACTGCGGTATCTGCGCCCGGCCGCGCCGTGTGCGGTGTACGCGACCCGCGTCGCCGTCCCGTCGCGTGAGGACCCGCACACACCGCGCACGCTGTCGAACACGGCCACACCGCGCATCGGCACACCCCTCGGCACTGGGGACAAGCGCACACCGGGCGGCGGGCGCAAGACGTCCGCCGCGGCAACCCGGGAGGGGATCTGCTCCCCCGCCTGCGAGTCGCCGCTGCCTCTGGCGGAAGGGCAAGCGGGGGCGCGAGCCCCGCCCCCCC